GCAAATGTATATCCTATTCGAAAGATAAAGAAATGAGAGAAGTGAACCTGTTAATTCACTTTCCTTCTAAAAAGGCTTTGTAATTACATTATAACTGCTTTGTCAGGAAGTAACTGGAGGAAAAGTGGGAATCATTTGAATACAATATCAATGAAATATATGTTGACTATGTGAGCACCATGCTTTCTTTTATTCGCATGTACGGGATGTTTTAGGATGCAGTGACATATGAGGATGTGACTGTAAACTTTACTCAGGAAGAATGGGCTTTGCTGGATCCTTCCCAGAAGAAGCTCTACAAAGAGGTGATGCTGGAGACCTTCAGGAACCTCAATGCTATAAGTAAGACTGTTAATGTTGTTTTCCTTTTTAAAATCAGAATGCAACTGGTTTCTTGGTTTGCATGTTTGTTTGTTTGTCATTTTGTTTGCTTCTTTTGTTGTTGTTGATGCTCTTCTATAATTTCAATTGAGAAGGAGGAAGAATGATGTGAATCAATCAGACATGGTTTAAAGTTCACTGAAGAGAGTTTGCCTAAATTCATATCATACATTTTCTGGTACTATGTTTCAGGCTATTATTGGGAAGACCACAGTTATGAAAAGAATTCTCAAAATTCTAGAAAACATGGAAGGTAAGGTTTATTTATGTGGTGATCCAAATATGCCTCTGAAGAAATCTCCATGTGTTCTTGATGTTTTTGTTAAAAACAACAGTGTAGGCCAGATGGTGGTGGCTGACACCTTTAATTCCAGCACTTGGAAGGCAGAGGCAGGTGAATTTCTGAGTTCGAGGCAAGACTGGTCTACACAGTGAGTTCCAGGACAGCCAGGGCTACACAAAGAAACATTGTCTCAAAAGAACCAAAAGAAAAAAGAAAAAAAACTGACAGTGTAAATAAGCAGAGCTTTAAAGATATTGAGTATTTAATTCTAACAAATGCATGTACCTCTATGACAGGTATTCTATTTTCATTTGCAGTGCATTCTTCAGTGTAGAATACATGGAAACAGTGCCTTAACCAATAGTACTCTTTGAAGCAAAGCCCCATTGACACTAAAATGCAGATCTGCCAGTCTGTTTAATCTTAATACCTGTGAATATTACAAGAAGGATCCACTTTGAATGCATTATGTGTATACATCCACATCCTTCTCATGAGCAAACAGTGCACAATAAAGGAGATGTTACTCACGTACATGTAGGAAGGTGGGTGAGTTTCGTGATAGTGGAAGTTCATAAGGGTTGAGAAATTTGCATAGAAAAATGTGAATACCACATATGTCTCTTGAGTACAAAAATTCAAATTGTGGGAATGCAATATGGGTACCTTTTATTTGTTATTCTACCTTTAATAGTATATTGTAAGGCGCATACATCTCTGTTCATCTATCTATCTATCTTTTTATATAGAGGATGCAGTTCCCAATTATTTAAAGATATTGATAGAAACCCTGTACTTCTCTCTCTCCCAGAACATTTAGATGATAAGTTATTATTCCCACTTTGAGTAGATTTGTTGAACTTGATATGATTTTCTTTTCTTTTTCTTTTCTTTTTTTTTAGGTTTTCTTTTTTTTTTTTTTTTGGTTTGGTTTTTCGAGACAGGGTTTCTCTGTGTAGCCTTGCTGTCCTGGACTCACTCTGTAGACCAGGCTAGCCTCGAACTCTCGAACTCAGAAATCCACCTGCCTCTGCCTCCCAAGTGCTGGGATTAAAGGCATGCGCCACCACTGCCCGGCTTTTTTTTAGTTTTTCAACATAGGATTTCTCTGTATAGCCCTGGCTGTCCTGGAACTCACTTTGTAGACCAGGCTGGCCTTGAACTCAGAAACCCACCTCCCTCTGCCTTCCAAGTGCAGGGATTAAAGATATACGCCACCACTGCCTGGCTGCAGTCATTGTTTAAAAGCTGTGAGTTCTTTCACAGTTTCTTTTTTTTTTTTTTTGGTTTTTCGAGACAGGGTTTCTCTGTGTAGTCCTGGCTGTCCTGGAACTCACTCTGTTGACCAGGCTGGCCTTGAACTCAGAAATCCTCCTGCCTCTGCCTCCCAAGTGCTGGGATTAAAGGCGTGCGCCACCACCGCCCGGCTCTTTCACGGTTTCTTAAATATATTTTTTAAAAAAACATATGAGAAAAGATTGCTATGAATGTGAGCCATGAAATAAATACTTTTACAATAACAGATATCCTTAAAGATGTAATGGAACCCATAATAAAGGAGAACACCGTGGACATAAACAAAATGATGAAACCCTGTTATATCTGATTTCTCATTACATTTAGAAAACACTGTAAAAGTGATTCATACATATAAAAATATTCAGTAATATAATACATGGGGTAAAACTTCCTAAAGGGCCAATGACATACACAGGCATGGAAGAATTTATACTGTAGATAAAATTTTTAAATATATGCCAAGTGATCAAGATTTTGTATGTCACAGGCATCTTCAAAGGGAAGAAAGAATTCACACTGGAGAGAAAACCTATAAAAGTGTCCAATGTAATGAAGTGTTTTCAAGTCACAGTCATCCTCAGATACATAAAAGAATGCTTACTGGAGCCTTTGTATATGAGAGTGGTCTTGAAATGCATAGGAGAGCAAACACAGGAGAGAAACCCTGTGATTGTAACAGAGGTGGTGAAGCCTTTGGAAGCCACAGCCATCTGCAAAGGCCTAAAAGAAAACATACTGTAGAGAAGCCCTATGAATGTAAACAATGTGGTAAAGCCTTTGCACAGAACAGTCATCTTCAGAGTCATAAAAGAACACATACTGGAGAGAAGCCCTATGAATGTAAACAATGTGGTAAAGCCTTTGTACAGAACAGTCATCTTCAGAATCATAAAAGAACACATACTGGAGAGAAGCCCTATGAATGTAAACAGTGTGGTAAAGCCTTTGCACGGAACAGTCACCTTCAGAATCATAAAAGAAAACATACTGGAGAGAAGCCCTATGAATGTAAACAGTGTGGTAAAGCCTTTGCACAGAACAGTAATCTTCAGAATCATAAAAGAAAACATACTGGAGAGAAGCCCTATGAATGTAAACAATGTGGTAAAGCCTTTGCATGGAGCAGTTATCTTCAGAGTCATAAAAGAACACATACTGGAGAGAAGCCCTATGAATGTAAACAGTGTGGTAAAGCCTTTGCATGGAGCAGTTATCTTCAAAGGCATAAAAGGGCACATACTGGAGAGAAGCCCTATGAATGTAAACAGTGTGGTAAAGCCTTTGCACGGAACAGTCACCTTCAGAATCATAAAAGAACACATACTGGAGAGAAGCCCTATGAATGTAAACAATGTGGTAAAGCCTTTGCACAGAACAGTCATCTTCAGAATCATAAAAGAACACATACTGGAGAGAAGCCCTATGAATGTAAACAGTGTAGTAAAGCCTTTGCACGGAACAGTGTTCTTCAGAGTCATAAAAGAACACATACTGGAGAGAAGCCCTATGAGTGTAAACAATGTGGTAAAGCCTTTTCATGGAGCAGTCATCTTCAGAGTCATAAAAGAACACATACCCTATGAGTGATAAATCCTTTGCCCATCACAGTACTCTTCAAAGTCATAAAAGAACACATACCAAAGGGAAGCCCAATGAACGTAACCACTGTGGTAAAGCCTTTGCCCACAACAGTAGTCTTTAAAGAC